AGTAGGCTTGGCCGCGGCAGAAGAAAAAACAGAGGCAGATGACCAAGCAGGTCTAGCCATGGTCACAACAGGAATAGACTCCAAAGAAGAAGCGACCTTCCTCTTGCGAAACGTAGGAGGAAGAGCCTTCGGTCTCCTCGAGGACCCTCGAACTGAAAAAGAAATTAAGTTTTATCATCACCAATAATGAACTATAGCAGGCGAGCAACCATGTGGTCCAAGGAGAAATAAAAATAATAGAAGAACTCACCGGCCAAGGAAGAAGCAAGCCCGAACCTCTTGAGAAAGTCGGCCACTCACGAATCCCCACCGTGTGGGGTAGATCTGGCCAATCCGGTCAGAAATATTCCCGACCAAAGGAGGACGCGCGACTTGGTTATACAAGGAAGAAAATATGTTTAGAATTTACGACTAGAAATAGACAAATCAAATACCTTTCGCAAAATACGGGTACTTACGAGCGCGATTCCAGGTCTCTGGAAAGCCGTCCGTGTTGGCTACCACGTCCTCGGTTCTGACGAAGAACTAGTTGAGCCAGAACTGACGGCTCGCTTTATCGTCCATCTTCACCACCTAGCATTTACCCTCACGATGGCGAAGATGCAACATCGTCCCCCTATAAAAGCTAGGGGCGAAGAGATACAACATGTGGCAGAGTGTGACCTCGACTCCGGCCAACTCGAAAAATTTTGAGAGCATCCTGAAAAGCTTGTAAATGTATGGAGAGAGTTGGGACGGGAAGACATCGTAATAGCGGCAAAATTCCTCTGCCAATGGGAGAAGGGGGGAGTATAGCTAACCTGGAAAGGATACGCGTAAAGCGCGCAATATCCAGGGCAGTGGATTTGCACCACGTCGCACCTTGCCGGGATCAAATCGATATGGGAAGGGATATTGAATTTTGCCCTAAGTTCAGCCAGATCGACCTCTCCCATCGCTGACTCCGAGATTTCGGGCTCAACTTCGGGCGCCTTCGAGAAATCGGACCTTCCTCAACAACGACAAAGATCCTATCTAACAATAAATGTTATTTATATAAATAAGAGGAATGATTCACCCAATAAAGGATGGATTGGACGAATGTTCCTCGTGACAATGATGAATGAAAGATAAATTCAAGATTTGTTTGAACAATCCTCGGACCTGGCGAAAATGTATGGAATAATATGGGCAAGAATTTTGATAAAAATGCAATCTTTGTATCTTTACAAGAGAGAGAATCTTCTTCTAAAAAGTATTCTTATCAAATGAACATTACATGCCCTTTTTCCTCCCTTCTTTTTCCTATTTATTTGACACATATCTCTAACAAACACTAATAGTATAAGTACAGAGAATATTCACTAGAATATTCTCTTTGATATTCTATTTCAAAAACTAGTCGTTGTTGTCTCGTCAACGATGCTCGACCTCGATCATTACTGCCTTCTTTACCACGAACCTCGTTATCCCCTGGACGACCTCGACTAAATCTTTCCTTAATGATGCATTACCATAAATATTTTAGGGCAGATTTTGGCCTATACAGTTAGTCCATCCGCTTATTGAGACCGGTCTCAGGCGGGCTCGATGAGCGGATATTGTGTAACGTGATCGAAGTATTTAGACAAAATGAACGAGTCGTGATGATTGGGGCGAGTTGGCAGCGTGTCCCATTGTGAGACACATATTCTAGCTGTATGTCACACGAATCAGGATGACGCCGCGGCGACATGCGTCATTATGACGTGATTTCCCGATACGTTGCTTCGTTTCGCGCGTGCCTTCTGATTGGGTTTGCCACTTCGATTATAGCGCCATGTGATGATGGATTAATTCCTAGGGTTTGATGCCTGAATTTTTATAAATAGCGGTGTGTGGGCAATGTTCCAATCTTTACGAAACCTTTTATATCCGAAAATTCTACATCCTCCTCTTCTTCCATTGTTTGAAATTTCTTACTAATTTTAGTGATTCTTACTGCTTTTATCATTTCCTTGTTCGAACATTTTCCCTCAACCAACATGACTAACGTGTCTTCTGTTTCTGGTATGGCAACTGATCCTACCTCTTTGGCGGTGCTTATGCCCCCTCACACCGTAAATAGAATAACTAAAAATTCAAAAAAAGGTTTTGCTTTTGGTCAAAATCTAAATAGGGGTTGAAAGAAAAGAATCTTTCGATTTAGAAATTAGAATTCTTTGTTTGAAAATTTTTTGGAGCCCGGACACGAGGTCTGAATATTAAGTCTGAATCATAGTTCATTTATTGCTAGTTACACCTCCATTATTGCTCATTCTTTATGAACGTTTTGTGCTTATCATTGTTAACGTTTCACTAGATTTGTCTCATCACACGCACGTTTTTAAGATTTACATCTAGAGTTATTGTGTTTAACTAGATTTAACCCATTATTACATAAATATAATGGATTAACCGAAAGTCAAACTTTTTTGTCAAACAGTTATTACTATAATTTATGTATCTAATAACCCCAATTCAATGCACATCCCCCACTATAACGGGAGAAAATGGAAAGTAGTTATAAACTTATTAGATAAGCAATGCGAGTAGAGATGCTAATGGACTCCTTCGAATGGAGAAACTCGACGGAGAGCGTTTTTTCTTGAATAGATCTTAAATTTGATTTTGTCAGGCCAGTAAATTTTAAATATCGGATAATTGTATATTTATTTTTATTTTTTTAAAAAAAAAGTAGGGGCGCCCGATATTGACAGTTAGGAGTAACTAATTTGTTTCTCTCTCGAATATTGGAAGAAGTCTAGGAAACAATATTATTTATATCCTTGAGCCTTGGTTTTGAATATTGAATCTATATGAAGGTAATTTCAGCCTATACTGAACCAACTAGGTTTGCTCCCGATGGAGATTTGAACCGGAAATCTTATAATTTCAACTTAGTTCATTTATTACTATGCTATATCTTTGGGGGTAAAATTCTGCAGATTATAAATGTTTTAATTTTGAAATGCTCAATAATTTATTATGCGAAAACTCAATATTTTTAAAAGTTTTTTCTTTCTTTCATAGACTCTATGTTTTGTCAAACATAACCACATAAATTGTAATCATTTGATTAGTTATCTTACTTTTTAAGATTTTTGAGTATGGGTTGAAGTTTATCCTCAAAGAAGTCAAAAATGGATAGAGAGAAAAAGCATACAAAAGTCTCAGCTGAAATCGGTTTCCGTTAATTCAGGTAGCAATCACCTGCGTTAATTTTGGCAATATCTTTTGCTGAGGTTGATTGAAGGATTTGAGTTATGGAAAGATATACATTTGGCTGCTCGGCCAAAAATATTATACCTATTATATTTTACGCAAATATTATACTTTTATGTCGGAAGATGAGCCTTAGAGCAATGGTAAAATTGTCTTTGTGTGACCTATAGGTCACGGGTTCGAGATGTGAAAGCAGTCACTAATGTTTGCATAAGGAGGGTTCGAACTGTGAAGGCAGTCACTAATGTTTGCATAAGGATATATTGTCTACATCATAATCCTACGAGTGCGGCCCTTCTCCGGACCTTGCGTGAAGGATGCTTTGTGCACCAGAATACCCTTTTATTATACTTTTATGCTGGAAATTAGAAATAATATTGTGACGCCCTAGACGAATCCCACATCGACAAAACACGGGAGAGATGTTCGGTATATAAATAGACATGTCTTAGACCTTAGTGACGCGTTTTAAAGTTTTTGCGAGCCTATGCCCAAAGCGAACAATATCACTAGTGGAGCGGGCTGTTACAAATGTACCGAGTGAGCATCCAATCTTAGAAAGTAGAAAGTCTAGTTAAAATAGTTGAGTATTCACGACTAAAAATTATGAGTTTACCATTATTTACGCAAAAATACTAAACTTTACCTACTATAATGAGAAAACTTACTCATCATCTCCACTATATCATAGTGGGTAAAATGTCAAGAAGTTTTCTTTTTAACCAATCAAGGTCAAATTCAAAAATATTAATGATCATAGAAAAACTAATTATGGGTTATTTTCTTTTGTCATTGATACTTCATCCTACTATCAAATATTTATTTGCACATGTACATAATTGTGTTTTTCTTTTATGTATAAACAGGTTTGATTTCATCAAATTGAAACTGCAGATTATAAATGTTTAAAATTTGACTAAACTCAATAATTTATCGAATATGCTATCTTTTGTATTTATACTTTTAACAGGAAAAATTTGGTCTAGAAAAGTTGGGAAACAACCCGAATCTCCCTACTTCCTTCTTAGATTATTAGCTCCATGATATTTATACTCAGAGATCAAACTAGGATTTGAAGGTTATAAGTTACGGATGTATTTTTGCATTCAGCCAAAATTAAATCTACTCTATAAATAGGGTGCATTTACTACTATATGTCTATATCATTATTTTTAACGACACATATTTATATGTATACATATAATTTTTGCCGAACTTTTCGTGTGCCGATAACCCTATCTCTACAACATAGGTCCGCCTCTACTTATACCAAAAGCTTAGTGTGCAATTTACGTGAAATATATTTTCTAATCTCGCATTTCTTCTTTACTTTTTGAATTTCAGATAGTGAACACCATGTTATTGAAAGTATTCCTTGAAACAATTAAAAGCCGCTAAGTATAATCTACCAACAAACAAATTCTACGCTATATATTCCGCAAATGATTTTATTAACTCCAACAAAGTTAAATAAATTATACATTACAAGAATGGCACAAAAACTCTTACATAATGAACCATTCCAACAATTCTATACATTTTTATTTTTATTATTTTTATTATTATTATTATCACACAAAAACAAAATATATTCTAATAGTCAAAGAGGATTAGATTTGTTTAAGCTAAATTCTTTTTCTTTTCAAATCTACAAAATAAAGTGTGGTAATCATTATCGAACATGGGTGCCACCAAATAAGTTGACACTTTAATCCAACAACTCCCTTTCTTTCATATAAATATCATATGCCACAAATTTTTAGAACATAGCCAAAAAATTTCCAAAATGAGGCCTTACTATCTTTTGGTCCCTCTTTTAGTACTCTCCATTATTTCAACAACCACAAATGGCCTAACACAGCAAACTAGCTATGTAAACTCTGTGAAAAAAACTAACACCATTATCCAACAATTCTTGACTCCTCAAAATGCAGCTCGTTCAGCACTTAGACTAAAACCATTAGTGTGGGACAAGAAATTGGCTAATTATGCAACATGGTATGCAAACCAAAGGAGATATGATTGTGAGTTGATTCACTCAAATGGACCATATGGTGAAAATATTTTCTGGGGTAGTGGTGCCGGGTGGTCGCCGAGCCAGGCCGTTACGGCCTGGCTCGCGGAACGACGGTCGTATAACTATTGGTACAATAGTTGTAACGACGGAGAATGTGGCCATTATACGCAAATTGTGTGGAGAGAAAGTAGAAGAATTGGTTGTGCAAAAGTGACCTGTTTTAATGGATTGGGAGTTTTTATGACTTGCAATTATGACCCTCCTGGTAACTACATTGGAGAAAGGCCTTACTAAACTTTTTTCAAGTTGAAAACTTGAAAATTGAGAGAATTCTTCTTATTTTTCATTTTTTTTTCCTTTTTTTTAACTGTGTTGTTCAGACCAACTTGCAAGAGGTGAGAGAAGTCCGGAACAAAATGCATTGAATTGGTTTTTGCAATATATTTTCTTGAATTATTTTTTTGTTATTTTGTTTTTTTGAAAACATATGTGAGATTTGAGAAAGGAATTTCTCATTTGATTAAATTGTATCAATAATTTATAACAAGTGTAATATGAATGATTTGAAGTTAATTAATCATGGCTTACGAGCATGAAAAAGTACTGAGCTTTGCTGCTTGGTATGCCATTGATGAGGGGTTTAAGTTTGTTTGTCTGTCATGTTTTTTTTAATGATGTTTCTATTTCTCGAGAAGACAAGTCATTTGGAGGGAAACGAAAAAATTACTTCCTCTAGTTCTTTTTTATATTATTTCTGTCTCACTTTATACGATACACTTACTATTTAGAGAGTAAATTTTTTTCTTGACCATAACTTTTCATGTTTTTTTAAAATACTTAAAATATTATACTTATAGTACTTTAGTATAGTTTGTAAATATGTAAATTTTATTACAAAACTTTTTGAAGATTATGTCTGAATTTACACACAAAAAAAAGATAATTTGACCTTCATACTCCAATTCGCATCATATAAAATATGCCGAGAAAGTATCATTTAAAGTTTTGACACATCCATTAAAGAAATTATTGAATAACTTTACGTATAAGAGTATTTAACTAATATATATTTATCTATTTCTTAAATGTGTAATTAATGATTTTATTCTTGAATAGTAATTAAAGGTGGAATTGAAAAAATAATACCTTTTATTTTTTTAAAAATATTAAATATTTTGGACCAGGGAAAAAAAGAAAAAAAAAACAGAAAAGGACATCTCAATTCTTATTTTTATGTTCCTCAATTTTCACACCCTTTACTTTTCTTCTTCTATCCTTCCATTTCTTTTTTGTTGTTTTTCCATTTTATTTTTTGGGATGAGGGAATAAGTCAGGGTAACAGCTGGCATTTAGAAAACAGAGGAATATAGGGGTTCAATTAGCAGAATCGTAACGTAGTCATAGGTTTACAAAAGAATATTTGTTTATAAAAATCTAAAGTAGAACATTATTAATAACAACACTTTAAACTATTCAACACCTTTAAGGTATCTTTGTAAAATATATTGCTAACCAAAAACAATAATCTGACAATAAACCGTCCAAATGCCAGCCTGATTAAGAGCAGACTTCTTGAAGGCTATGCTCCTTTCTAGATTAGATAAAAAATACTTTTTCGGTCTCAATTTATATAATACTGGTCTTGAGTCGATGGTCTATCAAAAATAATTTTTATATTTTCACGAGATAAAGATAAGGTCTGTGTGCACACTAACCTCCCATACCCACTTATGATACTGTTTGACCAAACATGAAGTTAAAAAAAAAATAGAAGTTTTGAAACGTATAATCTAAAAGAAAATTATAGATATTTATCTTGCTACAATCATCTCATAAGGTTAAAATAAAAATTTTAAATTTATATTATATCTGAATATAGTAATATGATATTTTCTATTAAACAGACCGAAAAGAAAAATATATCACATAAATTGATATAAAGTATTATATATTTGGTTTATCAACTTTTGAGCTAAAAAGCTCATTCATTAATCTACTAATGTTCTCTCTCTTTTGATTGATTGGCATTTCATTTTCATGATTCTGCTGTAGACTCAAAAAAGATAAAGTGGAACTTATTTATGTGGTAGAAATAAGTCTATTTCTTGATTTCTATTGCCCATATCTTCACTATATTTCTCTTTCAAACCCTTTATCTTCTCCTCTGACCACATATAACTTCGGTCTCTCCTCGAGCAAAACGAAACCAACAATAAGGAGATACACACCAAACATAATCACTTAAGGGCCGTTTGGCCATATAAATGTTTTTACTTTTTTTTAAATCATCGTTTGCCATAAAATTTTTAATTTACACTTGAGATGAATTTCGAAATTCTTTTAAATTTTGAAAAAACTCCAAAAGACTGTTTTTCAAAATTTTCACTTCAAGCCATCACAAAAATTCAAAAACAGTCCAAAAATTATATTTATGTCCAAACACAACTTTAACTTTCAAATATCATTTTTACTTGAAAAAAAAATTACTTTTTTCGTAATTTTATAATTCTTATGTCCAAACGCCCACTTAAATTAGTGTTGGTTGTTGGAAAAATTGATTATGGAGAATAGGATTTATCAAATCTTGAGGCATGTCAAGGATATTGTTCTTAAGGATATTTTGCCACACAATAAAAAATAAAACTAGTCGTATTCACCAGGATTTAAAAAGCTCTTCCACTTATTAAACTGTAAATAAAAATTACAGAAAATTCAACAAAGAAACCCAACGTCTAAGGAGGACGAAGAAGATTCAGCTAGATAACCGCAAGTTAATTACTAGTTTAACTCTATTAAATATAAAATAATTTACTAAATAATAAATAAATATAAAGATAATATTTCAAAAAAAAATATTTTTCAAATCAATATAATGGACATTCCGTTTTGAGATACCACTATTTTCTCCAACAGTTGTAATTTATGTACCTATGAATTCGAATACCAAATATATAAAGTATAAAGAAAATAAAATCTAGGCTGCAAAAGAGTGATGGTAAAATTTGAAGTTTAATTACTTTCCGTAAAGAAAGGTCAGTTAGAACTTAGAAGCATGGATGATGTTATTCATATGTGATAGGTTTAAATTTTGAGAATTGACAAAAATTTACGAGGGATTTTTACATAAATAGTCGATCATATTCGTTATTTACTTTTTCTAACCATACATATAATTTATACATTGATTATACATAATTGTATATATATAATACATAAATTTGTCACGATCCGAAATTCCCACCTTCGAACCGTGATGGCGCATAACATTTCACTTGTTAGGCAAGCCAACGTTAGAATAATATTAACTAATTTTTAAATTATTAATAATCCAAGAACAAATGCGGAAACAAGTTTTAAATATAGTGAATAATCCATAAAAATAACGGTATCTAAATACCATCCTAGAATTGGTGTCACAAGTGCACGAGCTTCTACAATAAATACAAATAAGGTCTGAATAAAATAAAGCTGACTAGAAATAAACACACAGCTAAAGTAAAATAGACAGGGACTCCAAAACTGCGGACGCCATGCAGTTATACCTCAAGTCTCCTCTGGTAGTTGAAATCCGAGCAAGTCTACGGTATGCCACTGGGACCAACTCCAAAATCTGCACAAGAAGTACAGAGTGTAGTATCAGTACAACCGACCTCATGTACTGGTAAGTGTTGAGCCTAACCCCGACGAAGTAGTGACGAGGCTAAGGCGGGTCACTTACATTACATGTACGCTATATTAGTAATAGCAACAATAATAGAAATAATTCAGGTAACTCATTTATAATAATTGAAGCTAACTCAGCAGTCATAACCAATTATCATTTCCATCAATTATGTTGCAGCGTGCAACCTGCTCTTATCATATATTCACATTCAATTCTGTTGCAGCGTGTAACCCGCTCTCACAATATATT